GCACGCCTGTAATCACAGCATTCGGGAGTCTGAGGCAGGAGGATAGCCTTGAGTTCTAGGCCAGCCTGAACTACATAGTGAAACCCTGCCTCAACCCACCCCCAAGCCGCCTGCCCACCGTCCACAGCCTGCAAGCCCACGTTTCAACAGACTTCAGTAAAATGCCGTCCCAAATGGAACACACCATGGAAACCGTGATGTTTATGTTTCACAAATTTGCTGGGGACAAAGGCTACTTAATGAAGGAGGACCTGTGAATACTCATGGAAGAGGAGTTCCCTGGGTTTTTGAAAATCAAAAAGACCCTCTGGCTGTGGTAATTAAATCATGACGGACCTAGACCAGTGTCAAGAGGCCAAAGTGGGCTTCCAGAGCTTCTTTTCACTAACTGCAGGCCTCACCATTGTGTGCGATGATTATTTTGTAGTATACAGGAAGCAGAAGGGAAAGAAGTAGGCAGACTTGAACATTTACTCCTGCCCTGGTGAGAGTTCTCCCAAAGGGCCTCTTAAGGAATGTGCCCCTCAGTTTCCCCTTGTATAAAGATTTCATGAACAGATCAGGACCCTTAGAAAATGTACAAATAACATCCAACTCTCATTGGACAAGCAGAGAAAGGAAAGTTAGTTAAATGATAGATAAGCTTTTGATTTTTATATTGTTTGTATACTCTTGGCCTCAATAAATAGTCTTTTTTTAGTTCCAAAAAAAAACCCAACCCCCCAAAAAACAGCTGGATGCATAAACAGAATGTGATTCATCCATACAACAGAATAGTGTTTGAACATAAGAAGTAACATCGTGTTAAAGCATAAATGAACCTTTAAAACTTGTTATAAGTGAAAGAAGCCAGTTGCAAAAGACCACATACTATATGATTCCATTCATATGAAAATTCAAAATATAAAAATATCTCCCTTTTCTTTCTTTTTTTTTTTTGGTACCAGGGATCGAACTTGGATCCATGTGCTTGCGGGGCAGGCAGCAGAACCACTGAGCTAAATCCCTGGCCCTAAAAAAATATAAAAATATCTAAGGACAAAAAATGCGGTGGCTCATATCTCTAATCCCAGCATTTGGGAGGCTGAGGCAGGAGGATCACTGCAAGTTCAAGGCCAACCTGGGCTACATAATGAGTATAAGACCAGCCTTAACTACATGGCGAGACCCTATCTCAAAAATCCTCCCCCCACCCCCCAAAAAAGTAATGGCTTCTTAGGGCTGGGTGGCAGCATGGGAAGTTGGGGGCAAGTGATAGCTAAATAGTACTGGTTTTCTTTTCGAGGTATAAAAATGTTATAAAATTGACTGCAGTGACAGTTGCACATATTTGTGCATTGTCATTCCATCGTGCACTTTAAGTGAATGGATTATATGAGTTATATAATAAAGCTGTAAAAAAAAAAAAGTGTCACTAGCCATCAGATCTGTGAGCCTATAGCTTGAAAGAGAAGCCTAGGTTAGAAATAAAGACTTGAGAGTCATCATTGTGTGGATGGAAGTTTAAACTGTAAGAATAGATACAATCACTTTGAGAGAATGTGCAGAATGAAGAAGAGACACTAATGAAATAAATGGTCAGAGATAAAAATAGAACCATGGAATATAGTATCACAGAATTCAGTGGGATTGAGTATCTCACAGAGATAATTATCACAACCTCAAATTCAATAGGAAACCCCAAATAAGAAAGAAATTAGTGGTAATGGCCATTGATTTGGTAGTAATAGCAATGGTGTCCACAGAGTATGGATACAGGAACCATACAGAGGGGAAGACTTTTGATCCCCATAGTGCCACTAAAATCACTCTTGTCAGTCTTTCATATTTCCAAATACAATGGTCAATTTTTAGTCAGCTTCAATCTCGAGCAGGAATGACAGTTTATATTACCTTCTTTGAACTTTTAAAAAACTTGTTTTATAAGACCCCTTACTTTTCTTAGTCTTCCTCTTTCTTGACTGCTCCTTTTTAATAAATTTTTCTATATGTTCCTCTTCTATGACTTCTATGAGTTGGAATCCCTCAGGATTAGAGGGCTCAGTCTTTAGACTGCTTCTCTTCCTTGTTAATAAGTGGGTTTTCCCCATCCCACGGCTATTTATAACTTAGTCCCTAATTTATGCCTCCAGTTGTCCCTTCTATGAGCTCCAGATTCATATTTATAGTTGTTTATTATTCCATCTGGAAATCTAATAGACATCTCCAATAAGATGTCTGAACTAGAACTGAATGCACCCCCCAAAAAAAACCCTTTTCCTGTACCCCCACATTCTATCTTAGTGTAAGGCATTGTTACTTAGTTATTCATGTCAACCTGAGACATCCTTGACTCTCTTACACCCCACATTCAATCTCTTAGCAAGTCACCTCTATGCCACTTTCAAAGTAGCTTCTGAGGGCTGGGGATTTAGCTCAGTGGTTCCACCACTTGCCTCACAAGCACAAGGACCAGAGTTTGATCCCTGGTACCTAAATAAATAAATAAAGAAAGAAAGAAAGAAAGAAAGAAAGTACGTTCTGAGTCCAACCACTTACTACGACTTCCATTGCAATACTAATCTTGCAGATCTGCAGTAGCTTCCTAACTGGACTTTCAGCTTTTATTTTGCATCTCTGTGGACAGTTAAAAGAATCAACCACAGTAAACTTCACTTATAAATGAGATCATGTAAGAAATAATAATAAATAAACAAAATATTGTCATTTATTCAAAATCCTTTAGGGCTTCCCAGTCATTCTTAGGATAAAATAGTCTTTCTTTAGTGTGTAAGTCTGTAAGTGATCTGGTCTCCACTCTCCATACTAACTTACTACCTGCTCTTGCCCCATTGGCTTCCTAGCTCAGTACACACAAGCTTCAGGGGCTTTACCTTGCTGTTCCCTCTGACCTAGAATGCTTTCCCAAACGTGTATGGATATATTCAAATGTCACCTCAACAAAGGGGTCTTCCCTGATCCCCCAATATCAAAACTAATAAACTTTTACTCTATTTTCTTTTACAGTTCTCTTCATATCTTTATATTACTTCCTGTGTCTCCATCCCCCTCGCTCCCAACTCCTGTATTAATAAATAAGTTCAGTGAATAAAAAAATCTTCGTTTGTTTTATTCACTGTTGCAGCCCCAGCACAAAGCCTCGCAGGTAGTAAGATCTCTGTAAATTTTTTTTTTTTTTTTGGGTACGGGGGATCGAACTTGGGTCCTTGCGCTTTCAAGACAGGTGGTGGAACCACTGAGGTAAATCCCCGACCCGTGAATTCTGTAATTTTGAGTGAATGAAAGAATGAATTGAGATAGGACTACTATTTCCTCTAGTCCTTTTCTAGATGTTCGGTTACAAAGATGAAAAAGACACACTCTCTGCCCTCAAGAGCTTCTATTCTAGTAGTATAGATTTAAAAATAATTCTACTGAATTTTATAGATAAAATTATGAAAGACAGAGGTCCAAACTGGACATGGTGGTGCACACCTGCAGTCCCAGTTACTCAGGAGGCTAAGACAGAAGGATCACTTGAGCCCAGGAGTTTGAGGCCAGCCTGGGCAATATAGCAAGACCATGTCACTTAGGAAGAAAAAAAAGAATATGGAGGTGAATAAGAGGGAGGTAGCAAGTGGTTTCATTTTAGTTGGAATAGTCAAGAGCTGCTTCTCTCTGGAGGCAGCACTTAGAGACCTGATTTTAACGGAGAGATCCACTGTAATAGATGGGACATTCCAAGAGAAGGGAGCAAGCCCTGGGGCTAGAATAGGCTTTGGGGTCTGAATGAAGCAAAAAGACCAGTGAGGCTAGAGGAAAGAGATGGGTAGGGTGGGAGAAGATAAAATCAGAAGACAAGTATCTGAGCCCGGAGTGGTGGCTCACACCTTTAGTCCCAGCACTTGGAAGGCTGACGCAGGTGGATTGCCTCGAGTTCAAGGTCAGTCAGAATTACACAGAGATCCTATCTTTAAAAAAAAAAAAGCAGGGCGTAGTGTTAAACGCCTGTAACCCCAGCACTCAGGAGGTTGAGCCAGGAGGATCACCAGCCTGGGCTACACAGCGAGACCGTCTCAAAAAACAAAACCAAACCAAAAAAGGCACCAGACTACGTAGGGCCTTTGGCCAAGGCATCTGTGATAATTTTGATTTCCATTACGTAATTGGAGGTTTTGAGCAGGGGGACTATGACCTTAGATTTTTTTTAAGCCACCCCCCCCCCCCCCGTCCTATGTTTAATTGTAGCAGGGTAATAATGGAAATAGAGGAATCAGCAGACAGCAGTGTACTGCAGCAAGTACTTAAGTGACACACCAATTTGAATATTTGGACAACGGTAGAGGTGAGAAGGTTCTCCCACCCTAGCCTTCTAGTTTAAAAAAAAATCCCCAGGCAGGCAGTAATACTGCAGGCTTTTTTTTTTTTTTTTTTTTTTTTGGCTTCTTTTAGGCGTCAACACTAAGGGCAGTGTCTCCAGTAGTAATTCTACAGCCAGGTAGGGTGACGCACACCTGTAATCCTTGGGAGGCTGAGATAGGAGGATCACCAAGTTGAAGCCCAGCCTGGGCAACTAAGCGAGACCCTGTCTCAAAATTTAAAAAGAAAAAAATTTTTTAAAGACTGCAGTTATAGCTCAGCGCTCCCTGGGTTCAATATGCAGTACTGCAAGAAAGGAGTAAGAAAAAAAAGTCAATTTGCATGCTGACCCATTCTTGAGAACCTTCACTAGACCGCCCATCTTCAGAGAGCCTCTTAAGCAGTTTAGCAGCACCTAGACTTCTGAGGCCCTCTTTTTAAAAAAGAATAAATGGTGGCTGTAAGTGTTAAACGGACCTCCATGGCACGGAAAACACTTAAGGAAACTTAGTCCGCAAAGGAGAAGCCCCTAAATCACACGCATTTTGTACATCAGGAGAGAACACAACCCCTAACACCGTGCAAAAAACAAACTCGCCTCCGCATTAGTGCGCACGCGCCCCGGGCAGGTTTTTGCATTCGCCGTAAGCTCCGCCCCTAGCGCGTCCTTTGGGAAGGGTTGGAACCGAGGGCTCGCGCGGCCGCCCTCCCTTCGGTGCTCTCGGCAGATAGTCGCAAACGGGGCCGGAAAGCGTGGCGGCGCAGGCGCAGGCTCAGAGAGTGGAGGCGGCGGTGGTGGCTGCCACTGGCCAGTGTAAGATGGCGGCGGCGTTGGTGGTGGCAGTGGATGGGGCGGCTGGGCCTGGAACAGTCGGAGCAGCCCCTGGCAGAAGGATGACCCAAGGCGGGAAGCAGGCTGCTGAGTCTCGCCGGCTCCGATGCCTGTAACTGCCCCAGCCGGACACCCCTCTGACTTAACCGGTCCGTGTCTCGTTCCGACTCGGCCTGCCCTCCTCTCCCGGGCCGGTTCCGCTCAGGATGGGCTTGACCCACTTCCCCAGGCTGCTAGGGCCCCGGTCTTCTCCTTCTCTGCACCGAGGCACTGTTGGGAGGGCCAGTTCTCCTTTCCGCAGTCAGCCCTCCGTTGCTCGTCAGGGCCAGCTCCGTAACTCGCGGGGACGTCTGGCTCTGTTGGGTAACCCATTTGTGTGCCCCTACTTCTTCGCTCTAGGACGCGGCTGCCTCGGAGTCCCCGGTCCAGGGATCCGGGAGGCGGTCGGCGGCGGCTGGTCCTGTACTCTGTAATTCTCTGGAGTTCGCAGCCTACCGTCTCCAGACCGTTTAAGGACGCCTTAGAACGGTCCCGTTTGGTCCCTGTTAGTTGGAAAGCATCGGTGGCTTGAATTTCTGACTCATGATTGTCGCTGGAGTCTGTGTAAACAAACCGGAGTTGGCGCTATCACGTTCTCTCCGTGATCTCCCCTCCCCCAGCTCCGCGGCTTCTTGAGAGGTGGTTTGGTTATGGTTCAGTGTTGAAAAGGTTCAGGTTTTCCTTTTCGGTGACGTTTAGTTTTAGCGGAGCAGGGAGATAACTTGCTTGGTTTCTGATCCTCTGTGCTGGTTCATTTTATTTGTATATGTGTGCGGATTCTTGTCCAGCAGTCAGATAAGTTACTCTAATTTTAAATGCCTCTGAAGAGCTCTTAAAAAAAAATAGCAAACTCTTCGTGAAATCTTGTGTTATGCTCAGAAGAGACACCTTTGCCATGTAAACTTTTAACTTTTCTCAGTCCTTCAGTGACTCTCCAGACCTATTTTCTCAGGAGCTCTCAGCCTGGCCCTACTTCAGTGATTAAAGGAGGAAAGGTGAGTGGGAGTTACAGGCAGACCCTGCCGCGATGCTCAACTGCTAACTACTAAAGTCTTAAAATTTCTAACAAATCAGCAAGTTTGGGTATTGTTCTTGGCTGTGTTCCAGCTTTGGTTAAATTGCTTGTAAAGGTTTGATTGGCTGTGTTTTTACTATTCTGTGCTAAGCTACTGCTGGGTATGTTGAGTTTTGCCTTAGGAGAGAATGTGTGTCCCTCACCCCATGTTTCCCCTTTTCCTTTATTCATTTGCCATATGTTTTGCCTTTGTGTGGGTCGTGTTTCTTACATTGTTGAAAACTGAGAATGAGTTTGCCTGAGTTCTGTGGTATCTTTTGTAAAATCCTGTCTCTTCTCCGGCTTTTGTGTTGTCATCCTTAACCATTTAGAGCATATTTAGCCCCTTGTGACTGAAAGCCGAGGAGTGATGAGAGATGCTCCATTTCGTTCGTGTCTAAGTCCACTCCAGAATTCCAACTTTTCAGAACGTACTGGGGAAGTTTTGGTGAAAAAAATAAAAATAGTAGTTGCTGTTTTGTAGTTAGTCTAAAGAATTCTTGGTTAGCAGAAGAATCATCCTGTAAATTCAGCACGGGGCCAGTGCCAAAAAGGGAGTAAGAACATACTTATAAATGTAGCTTTTGTAAAACTCTTAGGTTTCTGGTGGCAGAGAATAGTGCTGCGGTTGAGGCTTGTGAGATGTGACAGAAGAGCTGAGTGGTTCTGAAAAATAGCCCTTCCCGGTTCTTAGTATATACTCCTTATGGTTTATAGAAGAAAAAGATTGAGTGGGACTGTAGTAAATTTTATTCTACCTGATATCTAGGTTAGAAAATGTTCATTATGTACTGGAATGAAATTTTAAATTATGGTGTATGTAAGATATAAAGGGAAAAGTGCAGTCTTTGGAGATGGGCAGACTGGGGTTTAAATACTGTAGTAAGATTTATTAGCCATGTGACCTTAGGCAAGTTACTTTAAACTTTGCTGACTCTTAATTTCCACATCTTTAAAAGTGAGATAATAACCATTACCTCCCACAGTCATTGTTGGTATTATATGAGGAAAGCCATGTAAAGTTCTTAGGTTATGCCTAATGCATGGGACACACTCAAATATTACTTTTTATTTGTACCTTTTGAATAAGTTGTACATTATTTCTTTTTTTTTTGGTACTGGGGATCAAACTCGGGTCTTTGCACTTGCTCAGCAGGCGGCAAAACACTGAGCTAAATCCCCGGCCCCTGTACATTATTTCTTTGCATTTATTTTATAACATATTTTCCTGGTTAATTTTTCAGATTCTTTTTTCCCTCCTGGGCAGTGGGGAGTGAACCCAGGGCCTTTACACAGAGTTGATGTTGCTATTCCTTTTTCAATTTTTATTTTCAGATAGTCTTGCTAAATTGTCCATGCTGGATCAGAGCTTTCCATCCTATTGCCTCAGAGTTCTGGGATTGTAGGCAAGTGCTACCACTCTCAACTTGCTTTTTTTTTTTTTTTTCCCCTCCTCTTCCCCAGATAGCAGGAATTGACCCCAGGGCCTTCACACTGAGCTAGATTGCTACCCTTTTTTCTTTTTTAGTTTTGAGATAAGGTCTCATTAGGTTGCCCAGGCTAGGTTTGAATTTGTGATCCTCCTGCCTCAGCCTCCCAGAGTGCTAGGATTACAGATGTTCACTGCACACCTGGTTCCCCTGCTTAGTGCTGAGGATTGAAATCATGGCTTCACACAAGGTAAGCAGACATTGCTGCTTACAGCTTGGAACTCTATCCCCAGCCCCTCAAATTCTCTCTCTTTTTTTTTTTTTTGGTATCAGGGATCGAACTCAGGACCTTGTGCTTGCAAAGCAGGGGAGTGCCACTAAGCTAAATCCCTGGCCTCCGTCAAATTCATTTTTAACTCTTCAGGTCAAATGTGGCCTTATTATAAGTGCCCACCCAGGGTTGCTTTCTGAATATGATTTAGGACAATCTTGGTTGGGGTTCATGACCAGAAGGAATATTAGAATTGGTGTACATGTATTTCTAAATGTACTCTTAAACTTAAGTAATTCCTCCACTCCTTGCTTCCTTCCTCTTGGTCTATTAGCATACCTGACCAGAATTAATCAATATTGTAATTCCTTCCCTTTGTTCTATAGTGTTGTTCACCTGTACTGCAGCTACTCATGCCTTTCATTTTTGCCATGGAGGGAATACATTTTCTCTAAGATACTGAGTTGTGCAGTGATCCTTATGAACAGATTATCAAAGAACTATATCACAAAAGGGTCTCACTTCTTTCTGAACTAAACCAAGGCTAGGAGATTAGGAATTCTAGAGGGTTAGGAAAAGAACAGAGTTTGTTTTCATCTCCACATTTGGACAGTACAGATAGAGAATTTTAAATCTTTTCTTCCATATCCCTTTGGAAGAGCAAAGAGCAAAAATTGAGAAAGTATTGATAACATTGAGTGAAGGAAACCACATTTAGCCCAGTGATCATTTTAGGGCTGATAAACTTTTTTTGGGGGGTGCCAGAGATTGAACTCAGGACCTTAGACTTTCGAGGTAGCTGAGGCACCACTGAGCTAAATCCCTGGCCCCTGATGAACTTTTATTACCGCATCCAGTATCTAACTCTTGGAAGTTAAAGACCCTTCATGGTGAGGTGGGCATTTGTGTTTTTATGAGATCTGGAGATCTGTATCGGGTAGGGAGAACCATGGGAGGAGAGAAGGAAATGTGTTGAAAGATAAATAGCTTTGAGTGTTCCTTATTTCCTTAAAGGGGGGGAATAAGAATCCCTCTCTCCAAACTACAGGAAGGGTTTCATATTTTATGCTTCAGGTGACATCTGTGTATACAGTGAATCAGTATTCTTAGTTTGTGGATCACAGCTGTAAAATTCTTGCTGAAGATATTTTTGTATCTCGGGGTTTGGGGTATTACCTAAGAACTGTCACATCTTACTAGGAAGTATTTCTTAGGATGGCCAAGGTGAGAGACAGGATATGCTGTGTGCTCTTAGTTCCTACCACCAGTCTGGCTGGGCATTTTATGGTTTTAGTATATTAAATGTGTGAGAATCAGTTTCAGTGTCATGGTCCTTAGTGTTGACTAGAATCAACCTAAGGCAGAAGCGTGGCTTCAGAGAGCTAAAAGAAAACAGCCTTCTTTGTTGTTGTTGCCAGTTTAAAACAGTCCTGGCATTTCAGAAGCAAGTGGACTCTAGAAGAAGATACGTTTTAGAGGTACATCTTGTTGTGGAAGACTGGGATGTTCAGTTATGTGCATGTATTCTATCAGATGGGTTACAGGCTTTTTCTTTTCTTTTCCTTTTTTTTAGACATGGTTTTAATATGTACTATAGTTTCAAGCTGGCCGTGTACTCACTGTGTAGTTCAGGCTATCCCTGTACTCACTGTGTAGCCCAGGATAGCCTTCAACTCATGGTGATCCTCCTGCCTCAGCCTCCTAAGTGCTGAGATTACAGGCATGTGCAACCACATCCAGTTTATAGCCTTTTAAAGTCAAGAAGTGAGTAGTTAAACTAAGCTTTCTGTAAATAAATTTATTATTGGATTGTTTTTACCATAGAAAAGTTAGCTTTAGGGATGTCTAAGAAGTGTCTGAATTATAAAAGCAACAAGTATCCTAACAGAACTTTTTATTATATAACTTTGGTGTTAAAGTTATTTTTTAATTTATATTTATTTTTTTCTGGAGTTATTAAGTCTCTGAGACTGAATTAACTTTTGTTTTTTAAGTAGATTTAGCAGTGAGCCAAGATAATCTGCTGTTTACTCTCACCCCTTTGGAACTCAAGCCTCTGAGTTAATTAAATCAGCAACAGGCATGGAGTTAATGACCATGTACAGTATATAGTAGTCCCCCTTTACCTGCAGTTTTGCTTTCCATAGTCAACCACAATGCAACAATACTAGATGAAAAAGTCCAAAACTAAACACTAAGTTTTAAATTATATGCTGTTCTTTGTGAGGAAATTTCACCTTGACCCTCCAAGAGACATGAATCATCTTTGTATAGATATATCTGCACTTTATATACTACCCTCCTGTTAGTCACTTTGTAGCCTTATCATATGACTGTGGTAGTATCAAAGTGCTT